AGAAAGCAAGCTGCAGGTGGCCAACCACCCCGATTGATAAACCTTTTAATCTCAATATAGCAACAGATGCTCCAGATGGAGTCCAGTAGCAGAAGACCAACCAGGTGTCTGTCCTGTCCTCTAACAGGAACCTCAGGCTACAATTTACACAGGATCAGCAGAACTGGACCAGAAGAGACTGGAAAACCTTTCCTGGTCTGATGAGTCTGGATTTCAGCTGCAACCTTCAGATGGTCAAGTCAGATTCTGGTGTCACCAACATGAATGCATGGATCTATCCTGTCTTTATCAATGCTTCAGGCTGCTGCTGGTGTAATGGTGGTGGTGTAGAGGTGTTCTGGTCCCATTCTGGACCCCTCAACACCACCTGAGCCTGGTTTAAACACCCCAGCCCACATGAGTATTGTTGCTGACCGTGACCAACCCTTTATGACCACACAAACCCATCTTCTGATGGCTACTTCCAGCAGCATCGTGCGCCATTCCTCAAAGGTCAGACTGGTTAGAAATCTTGGTCCTTATAGTTGGCAACTTACTGCTGATCCTCCCAGATGTTCAGGCTCAAACTAAGTTTTAAAAAACTAAGTCTGCATCCGCTGTGAGGAAATGAATTGACGATGAGGTGATGTATCGCCCCAGTGTTTCCTTTAATTCATTTTCTTTCTGCACAGTAAAGTGAGCAGAATAGATCCACACAGACCTCTATGATCTGCCTAATGTGCTGCTCTACCTCTGACAATAAACCCAGCCCATAAATCCAGCAGCAACAGAACCTTTAGAGACGGCGGCTGAATAATGCGGCCATTAGAAGATAAAGAGGGATAGCAGGGGAGGAGGCCCTGGTCTCTGATATAGGTTAAGCTGTCATGAGTAAACAGCTGAAATACACTCATTACATGCTGCTCAGTAAGCGCAACGGTACCACCGCTTCACGCAATTACTATTTAGCAATATTTATCTTGTCATAATTTCTATAGTTCTTTTTTATCCTTTTTCACACTTTATTTTAACCCTAGTTTGTTTTCCAGCTTGAGTTTTCCTTCAACTGCTTGCCTGTCTCAATCATCTGCTCAAAGCCTGTGCACCGCAGCGTGCAATACTCAGCTCCACCAGTAGATGGCAACCAAGCAGCAAAGAAATGTAATTATTAAGATACAAACATTAAAATCATATAAAATGGAAGTAAATAAACACGTTTTACTGCCGCAGCCAGGTTTTATTTCAGCTCTATCCATTTAAGTCAACAGTGAGTGTGTGAATGGAGGCGTGTGTGTGTGTGTGTGTGTGTGTGTGTGTGTGTGTGTCAGCTCGTGGTGTTCAGCCTCTTCTAGCATGCCAGCTAGCTGTTTCCTGTGACAGGCATTACATTCAGTAATGCAGATTGTACAAAATGCTCTAGTTTTCCCAAGCAACCAATTCTGACTGGCTGTTTAGTTGCGGTTTAGGGGCACTTTTTCCAACACCCAGGAGTGATGTTAGTGAGTCTGTCCTATGAAATTTGCTGTTTAAGGAGAGAAAGCTGGTGAAAATGCCATGGAAATATTTCAGATAGCATCTGGGCACACACAATTAAGCAAAAATGACACATTTTCAGTAATCATTTTGCACTCTTCACATCAGGGAGAGCAACACCCTATCACCCTCCATGTGCAAGTTGTGGCGGCAGAATAAAATAAATAATAAAATTATGAATCATTAATATTGTTGGACCTTTAATATCTGATTGACTATGGAAATAGGTACTTTGGGTAGCCAGGGAACCAACACGCATCACAGTTTTTCTCAATTGCTAAAACACAAAAGCCAATCCTCTAAACCAAATGACCAGTTGTCTAAACACATTTACTAAATCTAGCCATCATTTTCCTACATCATAAACACATTTCACATGAAGACACAATACACAAAACACAATCCTCCGTTCTCATTAATCTAAACACATTTTTCCTTGCTAAAACACAAGTTGCAAAAGAACTCTGCTCATATTCTCAAATGAAAGCTCATGTGATGCCAAATGCTTGCCACAGTCAGCACTGATTGAACACAGTGAACACACCTGTCGTCATTCATTACACACAACGACTCAAAATTGAAGTCACTTGTTGCTAATGCTGTGACCACATCTCCTTGCCTTCCTAAGTCTGGGATTTCAAGAATAATCTGGCTGAATTTAGTGATATTTGATTAGGTATCAATTAATCATTACCCATCCAGTGCCAGTGTGCAGAGCCTACTATACCAGTGATGAGAGTTCCTGGGAGACCCAACTGGCAAACCTGGATGGTGGGAGCTTTCTACAGCTGAATGAAGATAAGACTGAGATCCTCATCTGTGCCCCAGACAAGCTGATTCCCAAAGTCAGAGACTCTCTTGGTCAGCTTGCTTCCCACACCAAACCTTCTGTCAGGAATCTTGGTGTGACCTTTGACCCAGCTCTCACCCTGGATTCTCATGTCAGTTCTCTTGTTGGGTCTTCCTGTTCCCTTTCATCTGCTGCTGT